TTCATTAAAACACGATTTCGACAATGGCAATCAAGTTCTAAATATATAAAATGTTATTAGAACTCGAAATAGCAGAAGGTTAAGCGAAAACGAAGTGCTTCTGGTGAACTTATTATTTTCACCCAACCTTGAGGGGGAGTAGGGGAAATTTTTTCGACGAAAATTAAATTACTCGAAAAGATTTGAAATTGCAGCTAAACCCACTCAGTTTTCGATGCTGATTCCGAATATAACATAATTTTGTACAACAGCTATAGTGTTTCTGGCCATAATCTAATAGAGAGTAGGAAATAACGACAGAATCAGTACTAAAAAACGTGTATGCCAAAGCAATGTTTAAGTGGTCAATGTTTTTTGACTTTCATAATCATCCTATTTTGTAGCGCGTAAAAATATCTATCGAATGGTATAGATTAGAAAAATGGCTCATCTCGATTTTCGTCAAAACGTTTCGTCGCAAGATGAAAAAAAATTAAAAAAATGATAGTTCCCTACAGTATTTACCCTTTGATCACGAAGTGACCAATGTTTTTTTACTTTTCTAGTCATCCTATTTTGTACAGCGTAAAAATTTCTATCGACTGGTCAATGTGAGTACAGCTCTATTGTGATATATTTGTGTCGAAAATGGGAGATTCTTTTCAAGAGAAACAGTCAAATAGTCAACTTTTGTTAATGTCCATAACGTTTTTGAAATTCATTTTTTTCGTGACGGATTTAGTACCAAAATACTTGTCTCAGCGGCAGCTTTCATTTCATATGTAATTTGACTAGGTTCAGTTGAAAAAATCGAAATGGGCCGATAGAGTATCTATACGCCACTGTCCTTTCTATAGTCTTAATCGACTTATTGCAGATTTTAATAACCAAAATATGCACATATAATTAAAAACATTTGTTAAAATTTTTATATCATTTGAACTATGTGGGGGGTTGAAAAATAGAAGGCTTTTTATTTTGATAGTGTCGGATAGAACGTCAATATCTCTATTGAATTATATAGCTTTTATTTCTTTTATCTTAGATGAGTGTGGGGTGTGAGTGTGAGTGTGAGTGTGGTGTAGGTGTGGGTGTTTTCTCTTTTGGAATCCACTCGCACACCCAAACCCCACATAAATGAATTGAAAACTAATCAAAAACCCTATCAATTTTCTGTAATACGATTGGGCGCTAGCCACTATAATCTACCATGGAATTTCATCATCACTGGAATTAAAAAAGTTTCGATCACATTTCGTGAAACCATCACATTGATTTTGTCTATATATATGTTGGCGCTTTAATGTCTGTTCACATTTCTGTGCAAGACGTCACTCTATGACCTTTTCACGCTGGTGTCGCCTATTGAATTGTTTATATCCGTATTGATAGTGGTAGATATTGGTAATGATCGTAGACCATAGTACATTATTGCTGGCCCTTCTGACGTTTTCTTCTGCTTGAATGATTTTGTAATTTAATAATTGTCAAATAGTGCTTTGAAAAGTTCAAAGTTTCCAAGGATTTGAAGTGTTAGGAGGCTCTCGGGGTTTCTAGGATTCTTGAGATCACTAGAATTGTCTCAATAATTCATGGCATAAAAAATGACTGAATTATTTTGATCTTAGTATTTGCTTTAATTTTTAGAAATGATTCCCAAATGACGAAATTTAAACTTTCAGCAAAACAATATGGATTTTTAAAATTTGATTATCCCAAAAAATCTAATGATTATCTATCACAAGTAAGTCTTATGAACTTCAATCAAAAATCTAAAATTATACAACAATCTATCGAACACGTTTCCAATTTAAGAATTCAAAAAGTGAACATAATAATAGTTTTATAATTGAAGTGAAATGCTTTTCATTCTCGAGACTTTTGCAATATCATTCCATTTCACGTTCAACATCGAGTAATTCGTTTCTCTTTAGTTCATACAATTGTTAGGCGCGCCGAGAGACGAATCAATAGTGCAGTTCATGTCTGAAGCCTATCAACTTCCTCTTCCTCATCTGATTGTTTCAATTCAAACGGATCATATGAATACTGAAAATCATATCGACAATAATTTTGTCATTTCAGAAGAAATCAAGCGTACTATTCAACGTGGTTTAGCTGAAACGGCAAAAATAACAGGTAAATAATTTTAAAAGCAATAAATAAATATTTAATATTATTGATGTTTTTCAACATTGAGATGCTTGGATTATGACAAATGGTATAAATCATGCAATGAACCGTCTAGTAGGAGAAGGATTACACGATAATGTCTCTGAAAGTGATGTTCCTTGTTTCGGTTTCTGTAGTTACCCATATTCAAAAGGTACGTTTAACATCAATTTTATTGTAACGTGTCATTTTTGACATAGTATATTGTGTTATTTATCAGATCGTATTCAATTACAAAAGATGCCAGTAGAAATACGGCATTCAACCCGAGATAATGATGACGCACACGATCCTGAGATAGGATGTATTGGAAAATACAATAGGATCAGTTCAACTACTCACCTGACATCTTTTGTAATTTTCATCCAATAAAATAGAAAAAAAACTATTTTTGGATGAATATGATTACATTCATTTTAATAGGAGCTCCAGAAACAGTCTTGTATTTACAGTTATAAATGCAATCATGTCAACGATAGTTATAACTTAGAACCAAATCACACTCATTTTGTTCTCTTTGAGCGTACTCACAATGATTGTGAGTACGATCAAAGAGAACAAAATGAGTGTGACGAAGTTATTAGAACGCGCCACGAAATCGAATACGGACTTACAAATCTTCTGAGTACAAAAGTGGTTGGTTATGATCAATGGAATGGTATGTATGACCAAAATTATTGGCTAACAATCTTTACAACTAATCTATAATGTTGTTTTTAGAATTTGACGAATGGATCCCACTAGTTGTGTTATTACTTGGTGGAAATTTGATGACACCACGCCAATTATGTTTCTACTTGGACAAAGATATACCAGTGGTCGTTGTTCGAGTATGAATTTATATAATTAGATTTTGTCATATGAATAACAGAAATCTGTAAAATATAGAATTGATAATTGTTAGAAAAGCAAAATCCCAGAGAAAATTTCAGTTTATATTAATTTTTCTTTTTATCTGTTTCATAAATGAGAATATTTCACGATTCATACGACTGTTTCTACTTGTTATGTATGTCCAGTCATTGGTGAAATAAATACTCTGTTTTTCTATATATTCTAGAGCAAGTTCAGTTAAATATAATACAACATTTTTACTGTTTGTCGATTTAATTTGTGACAAAGTTACATAATTGAAAAAAAACAATTTTTTGCAAATATCGCAGTGAATCAAGCAACGGTTTTGAAAATGTTCTTTCTGAAATTCTAAAGCACTCTATTGAAGACTGTTAGAAGAAAACCTGTAGAAAAAAATATTCTTAACTATGGAAGTAAAAAGTCTTACGTTAGTTGACTTAAAATTGAATTAAAACACTAATATGATATTGTTAAAGTTTTTGACAAGCTTTTTATAGATTTTTCAATAAATTAGGGATTGAACTCACTATTTTGCTATTTTCATAGATTTCTGTACATCTTTCACAAAGATACCTCTGGTCTTTCTTAGAAAGTCATCTTAGGCAATTTTAATATAATAAATTTATATGAACACAAGAAACTATATTTAATTAAGTGTATTTATATGAGGTATGAGTACTTGTGTGTCGATTTTCAAAATGATATAATAGTGTGCCACACAACATTTTGAGATGACAATCGCATAAACATACGAATGTAATGATCAGTTGTTCGAAAACGTTCAATATCGATAAATCAATATATCTACTACCAAATATTATAATTAGATCCATCGATGTCCTTTGGTTCTGTAGCAACTGAATGAAATTTTTGCCATATCAAGCCTTTTTAGTGAAACACGATCTGAAAGGAGTGTTGAAGTATATATAGGCAGAACTTTGGGGGG